GGCTCGGGTGAGATGCATCCCGGATGTCAGCCCGCTGCATCTCACGACTGAAGTTTCTCAGTCTGCGAGTAAGGCGGGCATAGGTGACGGGTTATGCTCCGAACTGGCCTTGTAGTCATTTGCTGGAACGCAATCGTGAGGAAGAAGTACTCGCCCGAACTTAAAAATAGCCATACATCAAAAGTTCAATAACCAAACCTTCATATACCATTTAGGACTTTTAACGTATGTATATCGTTTGTTAATACCTTATAAACTGTACAAGGTTGGTTCGGACAGTCTGCATGCTTCATGAATGTTTATTCGACAATGGATTGTCGTCAACTAATACTCTTTTTCTGCAAGTGTTATGAAGAACCCACGTGGGAATTTGGTTACAAAGCAGGGCAGCGCAAGACTGACTTATATTGTCCACCAAACGGGGCATAGGAATAGGAACGTCCAGCCCAAATAATAAATGTAGACCTGCGCGTAATTCAGGGGAGGGCAAAATATCTCCGTGCCCTTGACACAACAACAGCACTGATACAAAACTAAACCGTTGCCCTAATCTTAACCCCAACCCTATCCTAAACCTTAACTTGGCAGTTAACACTAGCCATTGCCTTGACCCTGACTTACTGTTGACTTTAAATCCAGCCTTAAACCCGATTCTTAACTTAACCTTAACCTAAATATTAAACCCGACACTAATTTTGCCGGAAGTTTGCCCAAAGCCACCCGTATCGCGGGAAGTTCCTGTTCTCGTGTCCTGTTTTTGGGGCCGCACAAGCCAGTCTTCCTCCAAAGGTACAATTCAGAATACATAAGCCAAAACTTTGCGATGTCCTGGGAAGCATTCAGGACGCAGAGGTGGAAAGATGGTACTTTTTTCCTCTGTAACTCCCTCGTCCAGTTTCCTGCTCTAGTTTGAAAGTAGTATTACCGAACCAAATATTTTATTGACCAGACGATTCGGACTCACATCACGTCTTCTTCCAATTTTGTACTCCAAAGGAGGGTATAATTCAGTTTCTAAAAATTTCAAACTGTGAGATTTTTTAATACCGTGAAATGGCCGTTCCTAAAACGTTATGCATCTGCATTTACCAATGTTGCTTGTAAAGTTAACAATGATTCTCAAATCCACTGCTTAATTTTATGAACCCCATATGGTCTCCTCTTAACACCGTAGAGAAATGCATGATTTTCCGTATACGGAAAATATACGGTCTGTAGTTTTGAAATCCTGAATGCAAGTGTAACAGCGGGTCGGGTTCAAAATTATTCGAGAATTAGAAAAGTTCTTTAAGAAACAGAATTATACTCTTCTTTCGCGTATAAAATTGGAAGAAGACGTGATTTTCTACCGAACAAGTGAAAGAATGAATATTTTTATGCATGTTTTCCATGAAATATAATTGAATTTTTAAGGGCATCGAAAATCATTGATGAAATTTCATGTTAGTTAAGTAGTCATTTTTTGTAGAGCATAGCTCTTGTAAGCAGTCGGAAATAAGTTTATTCGAAAGCCGACATCATGAGGTAACTGGATCATTACAGAATTATGCTGCACGTTGATTAGTTTTACAACACTACTTAATTAATCTTGTCGAAACGATAACGTATTTCGAAATTTCGGTTGATATTTCATGAGTTAGCCCACCTACTGTAGGTATGCCGTGACATAGCAAGTCTTGGAAATGGCCTTTTCTTTTGTATTGACAGGAAGCATTGCCTACAAATTCTTGCTATCTCCGGTATTCGTGTAGATTGGTTTGAGCCAGACAAGAGGTTAGGATCATTTGTGAAGTAGTGGAGTTAACGGACTATCAGATTGTGGAAAATTCGATAACCTTGGTGGGATTTAAACCACCGACATTGACTGTAACACTTTACTAGCACCATAGCACTGACCATCTGACCTACGAGTTTCCGACTGAGAACTTTGTTTTTCTTATATTTGAGTTAACTTACTACCCCAACCTCCTGAAATCAACACCATCTACTAGGTCTTCCCAAGCAACTGATTTCGAATCTGTCAGTCAGGCCGAGTCATACAGATCAGCCAACGTATTCTTCAGAAATGCCCAAATTTACCACAGTTTCCTCAAGCTTCACAATAGTAAAATGAACCTTTAAGTAACGTTTGTTTTTAAAATTTATTGACGCATGAACCTCGGCGCACACCTCTACTGACATTCACTGTGACGCGTACAGACCACAGATCCTACTACTTTCCCTGCAGTTTAGGTGCGCTTCAAGCATCTGCCGTAAGCCACATCTATGAACGTACATATGTCTCTCAAGTCACAATAGCAGCGAGGAGGATGACTAAGAATGCGGGTAGATTGACACAGTACTGTTTCAGGCTTATTTTGTCTCTCAATTTTGCTTACGTACGAAATAATTTGCCTATCTGTACAATTATTGATATTTCCCTGTAGTTCTTTGCTTTTACCCCTTTCCCAAAGTTAAGACATACTTCCGTTCAAAGGTGCCCACCTGCATTTCCCCTAGACAAACTGAAAGGAGTTTCCTCCATGTGCATAAATAATTAGATGCAATTGCGAAAACTCGGTGGGATTCGCACCCACGACAGCAAGGACAAGGCTTGAGTACAGCCAACGCTCTAGCCGTCTGAGCTATGAGGTCCCACCGGAAGTTTAATCATATTTAGGTCAAGTTACCCGCCGAGTCTACTTCAGCGTATGAAATCCACTACTTCTGACACAGAATGCCGACTGTCTGAGCAGGATTTCCAAGGCTATACATTTAAAATCCACTAGATGACTACCAGTCCCACATAGTTGGCGCTTTTGGCAGATTTCAATAATTCATTGGGTCAAATGAATTGTTAAGATCTGCCATAAACACCCATTAGGTATACAGTTGATCTTCTGATATGGGAAATACACGATCATGGGTGTGAAATTTCGAATTTGCGGTTTTTCCGAAAGTTACATTGGCTCTTTGGATAACGACTTTTCTATTCTTAACAAACCTCCTAATTGCCTTATCGGAGACATTATGCTGACGAGCAAAGGTTGGTTTCTGCCTCTAAGCATTGATTTCCACCCCCCAGGGAGTCGTTCAGACGTATTCCCACACCTGAACCAGATTGCTATTCCAACGGTGGCGGCAAAACTATCCGATAAACTATGACCGTTTGCAAGATAATGTAGAACCTCGAAAAATAATAAGTCGGAGAGTGGCGATTGACAGGAAAGGTTGATGGAGCCTTGTTTGCTAGTAGAGTAGCACAAAGCTACAGGATGTGAGACACGGTGTGTCTATGGCAGCCTCGGCTGGCCCTCTCATGGGTCGATGCGATGTTTAGGAGGTTGATGCGGTGTCAGTCGGCCTGACGGCTGGGGATTGACCGTCATAAGTGCGTGTTTTTGGTTGGGTATGCATGTACAGGACTGGCCCAGGTTGTCTATCTAGCCGAATGTTTACTGCACTGATAACGTGTACTGCTTTTTTCAACTGCCCAGGATTCACTGTTCGGCAAGGGAGGTCTCAGCTGCTGCAACCACCTATTTGTAGCATATCCCACTTCGGGGTAAAAGCACGTCTGGCAGGCCTGTTTTTTTTCTCGGTTCCCAGACTGTCGTCGATACAAAGCGCCCATACGCTTCAGGACACTGCAATGGAATGCAGCGACACAGGGGAGCGCGAGCGCACTTAACTCCCAGGCCCTGTAGGGAAATGCCCCGCAGAGCACCCGCTCCCATGCTGCGATGCTTATGTCTGTCTGGTGTATTCGCGTCACTCGCGCTAGCCCCCGCCGCCGTCGTCGCCGCAGTGGACGCTTCGGGCAGCGATTACTCACGAGAAGGTGCACTCCTCAAACAACCATGGCCAGAGGACGAAGATGAATGATGCATCTGGCGCTACGAGCTCACTGAGTTGCGCTCGTTCGGTCGTAATGGTGTGTGAGAGAGCGCGGCGACTCCTGATACCACCACCACCGTCAAAAAAATTAGTGTCGACACAGTTACAGCCTAACAAACATCTGCCAACACTGCGTTTTTTGTCTGCGTCACTAATTTACCCATGTGAAGATGTGGTCAAATTAAAAACCGCGCGGCGTTGTGTTTATCGACCCAGCCTGATTGCATTGTGGGAAACGGACCTTCCGTCCGGCCTGCAGACTGTGGTCCAGAGCTCCGAAAGGCGGTTGTATAGTGGAATGCAGTCAGCACATGGAAAGTATTGTCGCCAAGGGTGCCAAAGGACAGAAAGCTCACTATTTATTTAGCGTCGTAAACAAGTCAATGAACGCATCATGATGCCTGGCATGATGTTTTATATGTCCAGTTGATGACAGAAATCACTATTTCGGTCTTTCACGCTTGCGTCAACAATACTTCCAAATTCCGCGCTTGACAGTTCCCTCAGATTTCACCACCCCTCACCTAACTGATTAACAATCCGTGTAATTAGGATAGCACTATCGAAAAAGGCAAGGGAGACTGGAACGACCATTTCTGGCTTCTTAGTCGTTATCAATCAGCCATACCCAAACCAGAGGTATGTAACCGCCTAGGTTCGAGCTCGCGACGTGTTGGTTAGAATTCCAATGTCCCACCCATTGAGCCTCGGGCTCGTTGTTCTGTCGTGCATTTACGGACTCTCACCGCATTATCCAACCTACGGTTTGTCTCAAAACCGGGCCGACCACTCCTCTTCCACAAGACATTTCTTAATTTTTGAACCCGTCTGGTAGCTGTTTTAACTTTCGCCCTGGACATCTGCAAATGTGGACCGGGAAATTATCATTTCGGTATGAGCCGAGGACTTCGTTGCCCTCGGTCGGGAGAATGTACCCTTCTGCGATCTTGCGTGAAGAGCTCTTATGCGGACAAAAAGGATATTTCCATATTAGCTTACGGTCCTGTCTAAAGTTCTACTTTTATGTCTTGTGAGGTGAAAGTGCGGTCGCAGTGAGGGCAGGTGTAGTCCTGGTCCTCACCCCTGGAGCCGGAGGTTGGAGGGATGGTGTCTGTTGTTGTGTCATGGATGTGTGTGATGCTGGTGTGAGTGACGGCCACCAGAGCGGCCTGGTCAGTCACTTGCGAATCCATCGCACAGAGACTGGCGAACCAGAGCCAGGAGCACCAACCTACACCCACCACATTCGCCTCCACTGCCCACACTGCCCTCGCACCTTCACGCATCGCATGGGCCTATACGGCCACATACGCATCCACGAGAGCGGAACTGACCGCCTTCCCGACTCACCCACCACGCAAAACCCCATCCCCACTTCATCACCCATCATCACTTCATCCCCCATCACCGTCCTCGCGACTGACACCGACACCACCGACTTCGCCTGCCCACACTGTCCCCGCGCATTCACCTCTCGCCTCGGCCTGGTCGGTCACTTGCGAATTCATCGCACGGAGACTGGCGAACCAGTGCCTGGAGCACCAACCTATATCCACCAAGCTCACCTCCACTGCCCACACTGCCCTCGCACCTTCACGCATCGCATGGGCCTAATCGGCCACATGCGCATTCACGGCGACCTGCGGTAGACAACCGTCGGTCACACCACACATTCCCTCACTCCCTACCTCCTAACATCATCACCCCACTAGACGTCAACCCTCACACACCGCAAGCAACCAACTGCCATCTCCCACGCAAGTGGGAAGTGTGCATCTCGACTCGGTCCCCATGCGGCTTCGGCTGCAGGGGTGACTTGAGTCTGAGACTATCCCGACACGTCAAGCGTCGTGGATAGGAAGGTTGCAGATTGACGCCCCCACTCGGTCCACGCAGTTCGTCCCGTTGTGTGTGTGTGTGTGTTGTGTGGAGTGGCGGACTGGTGGGCTGGGCGACGGGCTGAAGCAGCACCTTCCACGGCCCTCTCACGCATGTGAGAGACACGCCGTTCAACCCCCGTTGTGTGAAATCCTGGTGTTTGTGTGTGTATGGGGGGCCAGGTCGTGCTGTGGCGCGCGCAGGCATGGTCAGTCGACCGTGTCAGCCACCGCGCCCATTTCCCACTCCAGTCTGCTGACCGGCTCGGCAGCGGCTGCGGCGTGGGAATGGGAAGAGAGAGTGAGGTCGACGACTCAGCGCATTTTCTCCTCACTATAAACAATCTGACGCGCTTGAAGCTATCACGGTGCGCTAAAAGCCGTGGCTTGTAAGGCTGCTAACTGACGGGATAACTTGGACCTCCTCCTTGACTGGTGGTGGTCTGAGAGTCAGGCTGCAATGGCTCCTTCTTAATGTGGCCGTATGGCACTCCCACCACAGCGTGGGATCCGAGCCAGGCGTTGGCGGCACGCCTAGGTGCGGCTTGGGCCGTGCCAGTCTCCAATCTCGGTTGTGTTGGTTGAAATCCTGGTTATTTGTTGTGTGGACCAGGGGGTGTGGTGGAACGCAAAGGTGAGGATCCGTCCAAGCCATCCACCTGCGGCCTCCCTCGTCTCCGGTCTTCTTGACTCCGTCTTGACACCGGGCTCGGGCGAGGGAGGAGGAGAGAGTGTAGGTAGATGCAGCGCAAGTCTACCGGTACTATAAACCCCTGCGCAAGTCACCGTCCCTGCTCCCACCGCTGCTGCAGCTGTGGGGCACACGGTCGACATCATCGAAATCGATGCTCGAACTGTCACTTTTATGTCTTAGTCTGCGCCTATGCCAGAAGATAACCAACTGCTTGGCAGTAATAAGAAGTAAGTCAATTAATAGATCGAGAATTGCAGTAGGTCAGCCGTTTGCGCGTCGGCTAGCCAGATTTTCGCGGCACTTATTGTATCATACTGGCAACTTAACTACAAGATAAAAGCCCAGACAAGAGGTGTTCAGTTCACTACCGGTTCACCCAGCCTTAAACAGTTGATTTCTCGTATAAATTCAGTTCGCAAGGGGAAATTTATTGTACCGGGACTAAAGTTGAATGAACGTGAAGTAAAGTCTTCAGAATAGGGCATACGTTGTGTCCTCCTGGTTAGTGTGCATGCATTAAAGCTGAATGGTCTCATCCTCGGCGGAATACGCTCGCGCTGTTCACACAGAAAACCTGGCAGTAGTATGTGCCGTGTACTGGAAATCATTTCACAATATTCTATTCGTGCCATATGAGAAAGAGGGAGATGGCGCGCCTTATTTCTAATTTGGAAGAAAACCGGAAATGCATGTCCCCTGAGTGATGAACTCTGCAGGTAGCGCAAATGTGAAAGAAGTCTAGTCTAACATGTGGGAAGGGAAGTAGCCAGGCGGCAGCATCAAAACAGAAGATTGTCCATCGATGGTGAAACTGGGGAACAAACGGTGTCGCATCTTAAAACGCCCACAACTATTGTGGATAATTCCAGTAATTTATGTCAAATAACTTTACGAAGTCCGTTTGGAACCCATTTTCGACACCACTTTAAAAAGAAGATAACACCTTACAGTCCATGGAATTTAAACAAGAGGTTTACAGTGGATCCGTGGACATAGTCAATTTAAGCTTCAATAATTGTTTAGTCCGGAGGAGTTTTCGATCTGGGGTTTAATGCCTTCATGCAAAAAACAGCTTGCATCCGGCTTTGTTGGGAGGTGCTCTGCAACTGCGACTACCGAATGCCCCTAATACAAATCAGAATTGATGGTACAGGTAATTGGAAGAATTCCCCATTTACTAACTACCAATACATCCAAACAAATAATCATCATATTACTTTTTAGATGAACCCCGGCAGCAATCGACGCTCTGTCTATCTGATTTGCAGTCCCCGCAGAAACTTCACTAGCAACGTCTATTTTGATGACCGCCAAGAAGCCTGTGGAACTTTATTTAGTTTCGGAGAAAACCAAAAATTTTCTGCGGCCGCAGAATCGGCTTTAATTTTCCCACAGATGCCTTAAACCTTTCCGCTGCTCGTTCTGCCGTCAACTCAGTGATTTTCGGTGCCCTTAAAAAGTTAATTATATTTCAGGGAAAACATGCATAGAACTATTCATTCGTTTGCTCATTCGGTAGAAAATGACGTCTTCTTCCAATTTTATATCCAAAGAAGGATATAATTCGGTTTTAAAAAACTTTCACAATTCCCGAATAAATTTGAATCCGACCCGCCGTTACACTTGCATTCGAGGTTCCCAAACTAGAAGCTGGAAAACCATACATTTCTCTACGGTATTAGGAGAAGACCGTGTGGGGTTCATAAAATTTAACAGTAGATTTGAGCCATATTGTTAACTTTACAAGCCACATTAGTAAATGCAGACGCATGACGCTTTATGCACGGCCGTTTCACGGTATTAAAAATAGCCTAATTAGAAACTTATTTAAAACCGAATTATATCCTTACTTTGAGTATAAAATTGGAAGAAGACATAATTTTCTACCGAATGAGTAAAAGAATGAATATTTTATGCATGTTTTCTATAAAATGTAATTGAATTTTTACGGGCATCGAAAATCAATGAGGAAAATGCATGCTATATAAGTAGTCATTTTTTACAGAGTATAGTTTTTGCATGCAACCGGAAAGATGTTCGTTAGAAAGCCGGCATTCTGAGGTAACTGAATTAGTACGGATATACGCTGCAAAATGACTAGTTTTACAACTCTACTTAAGTAATCTTTTCGAAATTTCGGCTGACACTTCATGAGTTAGCCCACCTACTGTATGTGGCTCTCTACTTCCCCTCGTTCGTGTTCAAAAAATTCAAGAAGTAGGAGTACCCTTGGTTTCTTAAATCATACCTTAATTTCCTGCTTTGAACCTTGCGGCCATGTCGATGGTCTTTTACCCTTCAGAAATTAACACCATCCCTAGAGCTCTTAGTATGAAAATGTGGGCAGCCAGACATTGCACAATGTTCTAACCACTTCAAGCACCTCCGCTGAGAGACTAGGTCAAATGTTGAAAACTCGTGATTATCAGCCTACTTTTTTCTCAACGACGTGCGTCACAGAGAGTATGGAATAAGCTGATGAGGCCGTGAGAAATTGGTCTACCGATTATGAAGACGAAATAAAAATGCGTTACGGCCCACAACTTTGACCAAAAAGAAAAGGATGCAGGAGGAACAACAAAGCAACTCTCACCTCCAGTAGTCTTGACTCGGTAGTGCCACTGGCGCAAGATAAGAACCCAGGCTCACACAAACCCTGCCTCTTGTAATCAAGTGCAAAAATAAATCATGTCCATCGCCCAAGGCGAGGACCATCAAGAAAGATGACTGACTATGTGTGGATTCGGAAATGATGTCGCTCAGCACTCAGTACTCTTGAAAGCCGTTTCGTATTGACTCTTTCAACGCCCGTCTGTTCAGGCAGTTGGGGAAGGGAGGGATACTCCCCAGGCTAGGTTTCTAGGTTCGACATCCACGTAACGGTAATGGCTATGTAAGTCACGCACTCGGTCTGGCTGATTACCAGTCAACGCAGCAATATTAGGACAGACGACTTGAGCCTCTGTCTCACAGGACGGGTGGCTCTCTACTTATGTTCCGCCTTCTTCCTCTCCTTCTCTAATCGGCACAATGGTGGGAGGGAGTAAAAGGAAGGAGGGGGAAGGGTGGGCCAAATAGCCACAGAGGTGGTCTAGAGGGAAATTACTTGCTGATGTGCCGAGACAGTTCTCCAAATGCCAGACGAGAAACGCTGCGGCTAGGCTATTACAAGCCTTTCTGCCTTTTTAAGCAGGCTTTTGCTAATAGCAAGAAGGCCCATGGAAAAAACGTGTAGCGAAAGCATGCAAAGACACAATGCACGGTGTTGCGTCGAGTAAACACTGCATTTGACTTGTGTACCCAAATTCGTGCGAACTTAAATGAATAGTCAGATAGTCCAGTGTTTACCATACAGGCATAAGTCACGCTTCCTGTGGAAGACAATAATCGGGAAAAAAACCTGCCTATCCCCCGTTCCTCCCAAATATCTTCAAGACCATTCCGTCTCGCGTTTCTTCTTCCTCCGGCTACTCATCCACGAATGTAACGATGACAGTTGAGGGAGAGATAATCGGTTGTGGGTGGCCAGGTCGTCACAGGGCACTTCCTCCTGGTTCAGCTTCAGTGAACGTGGAAGATAATGGTGCTGACTGTCTAAACCATGCACTCGGCATTCCCTCCCCCCCCCCATCCGCCTGGTTGAGTGCCAGTCACTGCAGCAACATTGAGGTACACGACTTGCGCTCCTGTCTGACTGGACAGGTGGCCCTCTACTCTTGTTCCGTCTTCTTCATCTCCTCCTCCACTAACCGGTACAATCGGGAGGGGGGGAGAAGTAAAAGGAAGGAAGGAAGGGAGTAGGGTGTGTTAAATGGTCACGGAGGTGGTCTAGAGGGGAACCATCCGATGATGTGCTGATATAGCTTTTGAGAGGTTGGATGGTTTTCTTTAGAAGAGACTTATGAGGGAGTCAGGCTAGCATGTTGCAATTCCATTTGTCCTACTTGCCATCCACAATCTCTGCGACGCTAGATTGTAGGCCGCACAGTCAGCCCTCACCCAATATGGGCAGATAAAACCCACCATTACAATCTCGTTTCTTCTTCTGTCACTGATTGGGGCTAAACAGTAAGGACTG